ATCCAGCTGTAGGCAATAATACTTGTAGGCAATAATACATGTAGACAATAATACTTGTAGGCAAAAGTAACTCCGTTTCTAAAATTTTTATTTGTGCATAAATGTGCTTGTAGGCAATTGACATGTAGGCAATAATACGTGCAGGCAATCGAACTGTAGGCAAAAGTGATGTAGGTAAACGATACTGTAGGCAATAGATTTGTAGGCAAATGGGATCCCCCTATGAACTTTATTGCCGCGAATTAGACGATTCTGACTACCTATGTATTTGTTTATTTTATCAATATCGCTGGTAAGGTTTCTAACGATACTTTTAAGTATTGTCACGCTTGCCGATCAATTACCGTTAACGCTCGAATTTTGATTCATGCTTTGCCATAAAGATTATTTTATCGAACGTTTGCGAAACGAAGAAATCGTGGAGTCCACTGGACGTAACAGCAGATTTTTGCGGTAAATGTGAAAAAGATGTCAAAATTCTATTTTTTAGTAGACGAATAGAACTCATAAAATATATGCTTATAGTAAACATTGTGCATTATTTTCATGAATGAAATAGATATGCCAATTTAAAAAACATTTTTTTGAATTGAAGTTATACATATATTTAAAAAGAAGGAAAGGATAGAAAGAGTTATTTAGCTAGGTGGTAAATAATGATAATTTTAAAGAAACATAACAAATCCGAATAACTTATTATGAATACTATAATGGTAAAATTATATTATAATAAAAATAACATTGTAATCTGCAATATATATATATAATTTGTAATATATGACACAGAAAAAATTTTATTTTAAGAAATTAAATATACTGTAAAGATTATATCATATAATCTTTTTTCTACAAGGATATTTATTAACGTAAATAGCGTATAATCTCACGTGATCCCATCACCACATGTTATACATAGAAAGTTAATTTATATGTGTAAACTGTGAATACAAAGAAGAAAAGGTGTCGTGATCGCGTGATTTAGACAGCCAATCAGACCGTTAATATTTCATCTCTGTTTTTTAGAATTATAGGTATGATTAAACTTTTACGTAGCTAGAAATAAAGTAACGAAAAAGTAACTAGTAAAATTGTTACCGTTATCTCAAAAATGTAATTGCGTTACTATGAACGTTACTCAAAAGAAAATGTAACGTCGTTACCGAAAAAAGTAACTTATAACAGTAATGACGTTACAAATAACGCGTTACCTTATCATTATTTATCAAACACCCTGTATATACTGGATCATCATAGTATACCTATTTTAGTTATCTGCTTAATGCAAGTACACATAAATCAAACATTTGTATCAGATCTTTCTAGTAATATTTTAATAAATATAATTCAAATTTTTATAAATATAATTTTTCAAATATATCTCTTAACAATTATTGAGGTTTATAAAATGATGATTAGAAACTCGCGTTTCTTATTGTTCTATACTAATTAATAATTAAATAATAACGTATTATATAATATATTGCTAAGTAGCTCAACAAATATATATTAAAGTAGAATCATATTCTTATTTTTAATAAAAATAACATTACAAAAATAATTATGTATCTATATATAGATTTCCGAGCTAATTAAATTTTTGTGATATACACATCGGTGTGTGGAAAGTTGTAAAATTGAACGTGTTGTGTATATCAATATATAGTTAAAAAATTTTCTCATATGTAGTCACAATTGAATGAATAATGCATTGTCCTATAGATAAAAGATCTGTTTTCTGTTCCTGAACTAAACTGCACAAAAACTTTCTTTCTCGATTTCAATATCAAACATACACCTATCACTTTAAATTCCAAAAGTGTACACTAGTTCAGCCACAGAAAATAGATCTAACATCGCACTCAAGATACACATCAGGAACATATTAAATTATTAATCATGTAAGATGATTGTCACTGATTAAACACTCAACTGTCATTGCACAAAGCAGAAGGAAGTTTTTTAGTTATATTGACTATATATACATTTACATCGAGAGACCTATACGCTGCCTGATCTAATATAATGTGACCCAATTAAATAGGTCTAAGCACCAATCATATAATATTTACGTAAAAGATCTAAAGTTATCTCTATTTTATGGTCTCAGCGCTGTCTACATCGTTATAACAGCAGGAAAAGAAAACTGTGACTGAACACAAACTTTTTAAATTTTTCTAACACGACTTTTTAAACATTTTTCAAATAAATCGCTTTTTTATTCACGAGATATGGCTATTACCAACGACAAGACATATATCAATTCGACAGTTTTGAGATTAACAAATGATGATTGTAGATCGGATAGCGCATATTTACACCGAATCTTAATCGGAATCGCCATGATTACGTCGGCGAGCGCCATTAAATTAGAGGAAGAAAAAGAACAAGAGATTTACACCGAAGTTATAAGTAGCCTATTTCAGGTCAGGTCACTAAAAACTAAAACTTGATCTACAGCCAAGTCAGGTCTCTCATCAAGTATTTACACCAACGGACCTAAATAATTTAGGTCGAATTTGGAATATAGACTGTAGAGCCTAAATTCACGGTAAACCATTGACATAACGTATTCATCTTTACAACTTTCTTCTCACCGATAGATAATTGGTTCGGAGATTAATACATAAGATGGTAGTTATAGTTAGTTCTTATTTCAAAACGTGTCTTAAAATGATAATACGATCCTCTGAGTGGTTTATGATATCTTAAAAATGTATTTAAGACGATCTTAAATATGTATAAGAACTGACTATAAACTACTAATCATAAACTTTTCTTTATTATCAATTTCACATTTATTAAGAAGAATCCAAAATCGGAACAAAACGTTATATATTTTAGATTTATGTGACGATA